TTATCATGGGCACAGACAGCATGGGGACAGAGCAAGGCTGTGTTTGTGATAGCACTCGCTTTGCTCTGACTTAGTAATATATCCATCTAGAGAGTCCACACCTCTTCCTCCACTCCATCTCTATTGCTCATGGATTCGAGGCTCAGGGGGATATCTGAGTGCACTTGTATTAGCTGTGAATACAAGCAGAACAGCAATTACAATGTAAGATTATCCTTAACGCTGCAAAGCCAAAGCATGCAAACATTTAGCAATATCTGAACTGAGACTGTCCACGTAAGAGCAATTCAGCCCCTTTGTGTCTATGTGTTAAGATCTCTATTATAACACAAGTGCAGATTGAGGATAAGATTAGTACAGATAATACAAGCATTAAATAATTTTGCAGCACTTGATTCCACAAACTTAAAATGCTCTTTTAGCATAGGGATTCAGATATAGTTCCTCTACTCCTTTTTTATTAGCAAACTGGAAAAAAAAAGTAGCAAATAATATCAACCTCTCAGCACTGATTTTGCACTAATCTTCTCACTTGGTCTACTGATTCTCTTCTCATTTCATTTCCTTGTACAGTCCAAGGAGGAGAAATAATTTGGGAGACAGGCTGAAGGGGCAAAAGCTGGGACAAGAACAGCTAGGAGAGGGTCTATGGTCAAGGAGATGGGAAGCTGAGGCTAATGAGGAGGGTAGGCAGAGACTTGGATGTTTAAAATGTTAGAATCTGATCTTAAGGCAAGTGACTGAAAATGGATAGGAAACACTGGGTGACTTTCATAGACAGTGCTGCAAAAACTATCACTAGCAAATGTTACCATTTTCTCTAAAAGAGCACATCATACAGCCAGAAAAGAAATGTTTGCAAGGATAAACCTCAAAAATTCATTAGATCATAGGTGATAACATTTGAAAAGACCTATTGCACCATGCAATCCAGCTCATGCAAGATTGCTGTCTATAATGTGGTTTCCCATGCATTGCCAAATCTACTTCAAACTGACTGAACTTAGAACACCTGAAAAGCTATTTTAGTAGCTCTTTCTCACTGAAATTTTAGGACCATTCTTCTTTTTATTTTTTTTCCCCTCTCTCTCACCTAGGTTACAAACATTTTCAATCTGTTCAGCAATTGCTAGCTGTGCAGGTTTCTCATGGCCACACTATGCACATCCCTTTCTTACCCTACCTGTGTCACTTGAAGCTACTCAGCTTCTGTTTATGAAGCAGTTTTCTTCCTTTTTAAAAGAACCAGGACCATCACTGAAGTGTTTACCTGTCTCTTCACTTTATCCCTTTTCAAGGGAATTGCTTCTTATTCGTCCCGATTGTGGTAGCAGTGCTCTTGACACCTGCAGATCCTTCACCATTTCAAAAAACTAAGGTCCCAGGTTAGAGAAGATGATCACATTAGCACTTTAGTTCCTGCTATTATTGCTTTTGGATAAGAATAATACCTCATCCCATGAACATTTCATCAATATCTTATATAATCTATTATTATTACTCTGCAAAATAATGCCATAATTCTGCTTTCCTACAATGCAGCCAGCTGTAAATATTCCATGCATTTTAGAGATAATGCTTTTGGCAGCAGCCTATTTATTTAGCTGAGAATAGCAATTTTGTGAACAAGGACTTTTTGATACCATTTCTTTTCCCATAGCCTTAACCAGACACTGAAGACAGAGGCATGTGGCTGGTTTCCATCAGATGAGGTAAGAATTTCACCCCCAGCAATGTCACCCATGTCCGTGCTTGCCTTGCAGGTTGATGACCAAATGAAGCTGCTTCAGAACTGCTGGAGTGAACTCTTAATCCTAGATCACATTTACCGGCAAGTGGTACATGGAAAAGAAGGCTCCATCCTCCTGGTTACCGGGCAACAAGTGAGTATGTGGGCTCAAAGCCATATTGATGCCTTTTTAATAATCATTTTCAAAATAGCAGAAGTTTAACTAGGTCAGAGGCCTGTGTCCTGAGAGATTCTCCACAAATAATGCAGGTAAAATGACTTGTGCACTCTGTTCCTAGTCTGCTGATTACAGTTAGACTTCTAAAAGCAGATATAATCACAAGCACTTTGCCTTTCAAATATGCTTGTATACTTCAGTGATTGAAAAATAGTAGATGAGAAGTGTTTCACAAGAAGTTATATTTCCTTAGGGCTAAAATGGTTTCTGACAACAACAACAGAACTCCTAAACCCTGTGCTTTAGGTCTAAGCAATTATAGTTTATTTTCCCTTCAGAACTGTAGTTTACTCAAAAGAATCATTAGCGGGATCAGAAATCTAGATAACTTGCAGCTATTACCGCAGAAATATCTTACTCTTAGAGAAGTATGCATGCATGTGAGAGGAAGCCAGGAGCCAAGACTTCTAATCCCAAGAAAATTATTCAGCCCACAGGATACAAATGCAGGTACTGCCTCAGGGAATGCACTCTGCATTTTATGCACTGCTTTCCAAAGGTTAATTTTCTCCAGGCGTCAGATGCATAGGTCACCCAAAACATAAGAGCAAAAATATGGCATATATCAGGAGAACTGTGAGAAATCCCAAATAAAAAAGAAAGCTTTGTCTCATTCATTCTTTTCCAAAGCACAAATGACTTGACAATGAAAATGAGAACCTTATTCCTAAGATTCTTACTCTGACTTTAATGGAAAAAACTTCACAGTATCAATGAGGAGTGTTCCTGGGCATTGTATTCTTGATTCAAAGTGAAAACAAATGATGGTCCATTGCTATTTAAGTAGTTGCAAACTCAGTTGTGTGACTATATACACACATGGGAAAGACTTTCTATTTCTAACTACTTAGATACGTCTCTTAAATCTACGTGCTACAGAATTCCCATAAAGGTTTAGTCATCTCAAGACTGCAACCATTTCTCAACACTCAAAAGTGTTTATAAGAACCAGAAAAGAAAGAAAACTATCTGTCTGCATTTCTGGTTAATAGTTGTATAGTGGAAGAGAGAACTGGTCCAGTCATCCAAGAACAGAAGTGGGAAAATTCAAATTCTAGCTATGAAACTGACTCCTGCAGATCTCGTGGGAAGTCACTGACTTATCTGAGATAGTTTTTTCTCCCTAATTACTTTAACTAAAATTAGTTGTGGTACTGTTGATTTAGTCTGGTATTGCTGAAAGAATTACTGATTCCTTTTCTGTTTCATCATCTGCAAAACAAGGACAACTGTACTAGCAATTACTTCATTTACCACACAGGGTGCTTGACTGATTCCTTTGTTTATAAAGCTGAGTATATTGACTGTTCTCTGTTCCTAAAGAACTGCCAAGTTAATGTCTCATTTGTTTCGTGACCAGCTAATTTTTAAAAAATCCTGAGTGCCTACATCCCTCTGAAATCAATTGACCTTTAATATTTTTAAAAGCTGGCCATTGTCCTAATTTTTCAACAGCACTAGATCTTACTATACTGCCCAACTTTACTTTTACTTAGGAAAAAAAAACATAGTTGCTGGACAACAGGTAGCAGGTGCTTAATAAGTGCATGCTCTTTAAAATTTTTAAAAATCAGCAGCTTGGCTTGAAAATTTTATATTTCCAAGAAGAAATATCATCTCAAACTAAATTAAAACCTGGCAAAATTGGACTGATTGCACCTGGTTTTGCCCCAGGTTTATCAAGTAGGTTTAGCACATCCTCTTTTCAACCAAATTTCACTTCTTCCTGTGTTCAGACCAGCTTGGGGCTCTATGCAGTCACGTCCTCCACACTCCATGTAGTGGGGAGCTGCTGTTGGGCCCCCTTGAAGGTTGTCTCTTCTCCCACATATGGGAAGTGCTGCATCCCCCGAGGGTCTTGGTGACCCTCTCTGCTGCCAGGGCACAGTGCTGGTCACGCTTGCTTGCTGTTTGCCGAGACCCTTGGGACTTCTCTGAGGAGCTGCTCCCCAGCCGGCCTGCCCTCAGGCTGTGTCACTGCGAGGGGCTAGACCTGCCCGTGTGCGGGACCTGGCACTTGTCCTGTTGAGTGTCCTTGTTATTCCCTTTCCTATAGGCTGTCCAAATCCTTCAAGACGGTAACCCTGGGTGACTGCCTCTTCCTTCCTTTGGTGTCATTCACAACCCTGATGAGCATGCCCTGCTCCATTGCCTCCTTCAGGTCACTGATACAGGAGTTAAGCAGGACAGGTCCAAGGCACTTGTTACCGGCTTCCAGATACAGCATGATCCATTAACCACTGATCTATCCCCAGCCATCCACCCTCCTTTTCTGTTCATCTGGTTATCGACCCATCCAGACCATAACCCCAGTCGAGCTCCCAGAGGGCTCGCTCCAGGATTTTCTCAGGGACAACAGTGAGGCTTTTCGGCCTTTAGTTTCCCAAATCGCCCTCGCAGCCTTTTTTGAGATTCAGTGCAACATTTGCCTTTCTGCAGTCACTGGGGACATTCCTCAGCCTCCATGACCTTTCAGTGATAGTCAGCAGCCTCGCATGGACATTGATGGACCTCACAGCACCGCTGCAGCCGCTCCGATCCCATAGGCTTCCACTGTGCCAGGATCTCTCCAGTCATGCCTGGCTTTATCCTCACCCCCTGCTTATCACTCCCTGCCTTCAGGAACACCACTTGGGAAACCTCATTTGTGAAGATCAAGGCAAAGAAGGTAGAGATTATCTCAGCCTGGCCTGTTTGCTGCCAGTAAATCACCAGCCCCGTTCAGCAGCAGTATCACGTTCTCCTTGCTCATCCTTTGAACAGTAATAACATGGCAAAACTCTTTTTGCTGCGTTTGACATCCCTCACAAGTCTCAAGTCTAACTGAACTTTGGCTTTTTCAACCTCAGTGCTACATGCTTGGGCAATGCTTCCATACGGCTCCTTCCAAGGCATTCCCTGCTTCCCCTGGTCTATACAGCCTTTTTACACTACACTTTAGTCATGAGTTACCTGTTTAACCAAATTGATCTGATGCGTCTGCTTCTTCTCCCAGTGTTTTGGGTCCAACCCAAAAAGGTTGGACCTTCTTGGCTGCATCAGTTGAGTCAGTTGTCTCCCTAAGACACAAGGGCAGTTCAAATGTATTTATGAAAGAGGAATTATGCCTGTGTCTGTCTGCTCTCTATTGACTGTAAAATAATTCTGGAAACCCAGAGGTCTAGACTGAGGTATTACCAGTGTTTGCTCTTGCAATAAATGCTATAGGCTGCCAGTAGCTTCCCTGATCCTCTCAGCTCCTCAGGTATGGAGAGAGAAACAACTATATCTCTATCTCGTAAAAATTAATTGATTAAGGTTTGGAAAGCACTCTGACACCTCTGATGAAAAGTGCCATGGATGTTTTTATTTATTGCTGCCAGCAAAGCACTATGAGTGAAATTACAGTCAATCATCTGGCTTTCGAACATATTAACTTTAAACTGAGGGCCTGAGCTAGATAGCCTGCTTTATTACCTGAGAGATGATGATTATCCTCACAAGTTAGCAAATTTAAGGCCTTAGAAGCCTTCTTCCTTGCTTTCCTTAATTCATCTCTCCATAAAAGCCACCCATAAACACAGGCCCTTTTACAGTCCTGGTCAAGGAAGAAGCTGCAATTAGAAGGAACTGCTTTTCCCACTCCAAGTACAGCCTCTGCTCCAAAGAGGTCAAAGTCAAACTTCACCCAGCCCTCTGGGGCCGTACCATTTCTGTTCCATACCAGCTGCCTAAAATGGGCTAGTAGAAGCATCCTGAATAGTTTTCAAACACATAGGCTTAAATCTGTTACCTCCAAGCACTCCCATCACATTACCATGCCTCTGTATTTTTCTCAAGCCACCGGCTTATGAGTTTTTCCCAGTGTCAATCCACTGTTCCTGCTTTGATGGGGAAAAAGTGCAGTCAGCAACAAAGAAGCAAGCTTTGGCCCTTGCACACAAAGACCGTGTTTTATTTTATTTTGTTATTTGTTTGGTTGGAGTTTCATAAAAGCAGCTCCTTTGTGTTTATATGTTTCAAGAAAGCACTTTTTTCAAAACATTACGATTCCTCAGCAATTCCTCAGAAACAAGTTTCTCTCTATGCTGCACACTTCATTTTCTGCACTAAGTCTTGCCCCTTAGCAGCAGTGATTACCATTTCAAAAGGAAATAAAGTAGCACAAATGCATTTTACAACTCTCCAAATTTCATAATAGAAAGCAGCTAAGGAGTAATTTGCAATGTAGTAGTTAATTGTAAACCACTGCCAATATGCTTTCCACATGCCAGGTTTCATTGGCTTGGCATGTAATTTTAACAGATCATTCCTAATTATAGGACTTTAAATCTTCCCACCTGAGCACCTTTCTGTATTATCTTCTGCACCAGCAATATGCTGCCAGATTCCAAGGTCCAGAACACACAAGGTAGATACTAAAGCCTAGCATAGAATATCTTTCTTTTCCATGAATTTTCTTGCAGCAGTCACACACAACATATGAATTATAGCCTAGGCTGCTCATTTGCTTCATACCTATCCTCTGCTCATTGCTGTTGCCAAAACTGCACTCTGCTGACTTTGGTCCAAGCCAAACAGATAAAAAGACACTCCAAATATAGGCCTAAAGCTCAATTTTCTTTGAGATAATTCAAACTACTGAATGATTGCAGCCATCGCACAGCTATTCTTTCTCCTGGATTTGCATTCTAGAGCGCCATCAAGGAAGAGTGAGAGAGAGAACCCAGATCTCAATAGCATTGTACGTTGAAGCAAGTGAAAATTTAGAATTTAGTGGCTTGTTTCTAGACTTCACAAGTTTTTCAGCTGCACCTTTATTTAAAGATGTCAATGCACATCATTTGGGGATTTTTCTGTGGCAAAAATATCTCTGTTAGACTTACCCTTTGCGAAGAAGGCTTCTTCTATCCCAAGAATAGCTGCATTGCCCTAGA